TTTCATAGCGAACAATAACCAAGTCATCAAACGTAAATGAAAAACCATCCATAATAAGTTTAGAAACTGAAACAAGATTTTTTTTCTAAAACTAGGAAGATAAAGACAATCTCTTAAAACCAAACTACTCCTATCAAACGATAAAGTAATGTTCCCACTGCAACAGCTGCCACTTTCGTAGCATCGCCCATATAGACGGTGATCTCTGCCTTCCTAAGCCGACTGGTTTCTTAGAACCCCTGCAATGAATTGCAGACATGATTAGTGGTTCCAGTATCTACACACCAGGTTCTTGTAGATACAACTGCTAAACATGTTTCAACGACATAAACGAGAGAGTTACCTTTCTTGAGGAAGGGACAGTCGACCTTTTGTCTCGATCTCGCAGCTCTAAACGATTCTACTGCTTCCTGAATGGAGTTTCTTTTTCTCTATATCCCTACGGACTTAGATGATGAGGCCATCTCTTGTTCTGTTAGAATCATTTATCGCTCCTCATGGATAATCTTCTCAGACACCTCAAATTCCTCAATCAGCTCAGTCGCTGGCATATTCTGAAGAATCGGACTGTAACTATAGCAGAACTGATTGAGGTCCTTATGCAGCAAAAAGAGTAATATGTCTGCCTTGATGCACTCTTCAAACAGTGCACCCATAGACTCCATGCGAGCAAACTGCTCCATTAGCCTTTGGACATGTTCCCTTACTGGAGTGCCCTTAGCCATGGTGATCGACATGACAATGTCTAAGTTCCTCTTCCAATCAAATGGTTCGGGATTTGCAAGTTGTTTTCCTATAGAATTAACAAATAACGGATTGAACGACATGACGAATATAGCCTAAGAATCATGAAAATAATTTTACAGATTAAACACTTCGAATTTAACTGCTAATATTGACATCCTCAGAACAATATTAACTTAAATTCACCGACATCTCAAAACACCGAGAGTTAATGCATGATATGAGGGTAACTCTACACAACTCAACATTCGCAAGAGAAGGGCTTTCAAAGGCCCTTTAATTTTTATAAGTTAAAACCAAATTCATGACAAACGAAATTAATAGTCGGTCTCTATTTGGCCACACAATAGAATTCAGCGACCGAGGGGGGTTATAAATTTAATTGCATTCTAAGTGAATCCCATTTCTCGATCCTAAGTTCATCAAATTCGATTATACGTCATCCGAGGGGAAGCCCGTACGCTCTCATAAGATTCCTCTAATCCTATAATTAGAAGTTTATCCTGGTAATTAGCTACAATTAATTTTAGTGATGTCACTCGAGGGATAGCTCATACCGACATTTATTGATTTACCGACAAATTAGAAATGAAGGCCTTAGGAATTTTACAATTAAATGTAATTTAAAATCCCTTCTCAAACATAGTATAATTTAAATGAGTATTTTTACTTATTTAAATATTTATGCAATTATAATTTAATCATATGTTAATGCAATAATTAATTAACATGCATAAATAAATATGCAATTCTAAACTAATCCCATGCAAAAAAAAAAAATTAATTAACATGCATAAATAAATAAATAAATAAATAAATAATATTTAATGCACATAATTAATTTAAATAAATAAATCCACTGTTATGACCATTAAATATTGAGTCACCATAAACAAGGAAACCTTGTATATTCTTTCCCTGTTCAACTGGAACTCCCACTACAGTAGAATCCTGGTTGATATTGTACTGCTTGGGCAATCCTTGGTCAAGCCGTAACATAGAGTGGTCAGAGGAGATTTTTAGCACATTGGAAACTGAGGCATTGGGAAAGGAGTGAACCCAATCAATGGACCCAAAGGCTCGGTCCAGTTTTTCTTCCACCAGACCATCGGCTTCTCTATTACTACACCAAGTGAATTGATAGTTAAGCATATTAATTTCCTCCATAGACATAGTATCAATGATATTGTTGAACTCTAGCATACTCTTGTCAATTCTGGGAATTCCTCCTAGTTTGTCCTGCTTGAAACTGATGTCGTTCCAATCCTCCATGATAAACCAATTGTTGCCCCAAGCAAATTTATCCTATTCCGATTCCATCCAATGTTCAGCCCTTGGGATTTTGCAGGGACTAAGATAAACAAAAATGCCCTACTAGCTCCTTGATAATAATTGAAATTCAAATGCAATATAAAAGGATTTACTAAGTAGCAGTTTGATTAGCACTTTAGAGTCCCAAAGCAGAAGTAAACCGCCACTTAATCCTTGGGGTTCAACAATAGCCATACTATCTTCATAACCGAGTTTTTTTTAACCAACAGACTTAACAAAACCTTTAGTTTTCTTAGTTTTAGAGAGAAAGAAGAAAAGTGGGTGGTGAGTCCTGATTGACTCTCGAATTTGAGAAACCGTAGAATGCCCACCCATCACTATACAGTTCCACACCGCAGCTATCATTGATCACTTGTGCCACTCAAGGCTGGCCACCTCCACCAGAGCTGAATCCTGTTTAAGTCTCTTACCAATATTTTGGTTAGAAGTAGTAGCTTCATGTTTTGAGGTTGACAATTCAGTAGCAGGTCTTAGTCATTTTCACATTGCGAAGTTTTGTTGGCAAATAAGGCATTTCCAACTGTCATTGTAAGCGACTTTCTTTGGTTCATTTTCTTTTCCATGTTCTATGTTGCCCTTTGAGATCTTCTTTTCAAGGACAACTAAATTTTTCTAACATTGTGCCGATTGTTTTACCAAACAAATTGAATTGAAATTAATACTAATAAAAAATATGTAATAAATTTTTAAGATTTATGCAATTGTTTCTTTCCCAAAAAAATTAATATGAACTTAACAAAAAATTGATATAAACTTACCAAAGTCTTGGTAATACATGATAAAACATAAGAATTAAAAAAAATCGGTACATTTAAATTTTGAAAAAATGCACACGATTATTCCCTCTAAAAGTTGCACACAATTTTGAAAAAATGGTGGCCTTTTTATATAGTTTTCTTTGGTTTCTAGTCTTCTTGGGTATAGGAGATGCTTGCTAGGCCTTATGACAGTGGTTAAGAGCTTCTATAGCCTAGTAATAGGTTGTGATTTTATTGTTATTGTGAGGTTCTAGGCCATCTTGTAGATGTGCATGTCAGTTTTATTTTCCGAACTTTATTGTGGTCATCCCCCCTTGCATTGGAACTTTGTTCTCCTACAAGCTATATAATGACATCTATCGTTTTGAAAAAAAAAAAAAACTTTAAGGGTTTTAATTTTTTTTTTATAAAATAGTTTTAGATACTTTTATACGTTATATAATAGTCTAGGTATTTTTGATTTTTTTCGGTTGTAATATTATTAACACATATAATATTTTAGATACTTTTAAAAATATTTGGACAAATTGTTTTACACATTCTCTAGATTAAAACATGTTTTCCTTACTAAATAGTTTAGAATAATTTTAGGTGACTCCACACATATTTCAAAAATAAAATAGAATATTTCATATACTTTTGCATATGTGATATAAGATTTTATATCATATAAAAACATAACAAGATTTATAAAGAAATCCCCGCAAAAAAAAAAAAAACATTAAATACATACCTAATCTTAGATATAAAATCCCATTTTATTTGTTATATAATACTTTGGTTTGCATTAATTTTATTTATAAATTTGATAAATCAAGCATACAAGGACTTAAAAGAAACTTATTTTTAAATCTTTTGTACTCGAGAAAGAAGTTATATTATAATTCTCGATATCACCTCAATATTTATTTTATATATACTATCATCTCAATATATATTTTATATATTTGATGTAAATCATATCATCTTCGGTCAACAATTTTAACACAAGATAATATCTTCATTTAGCCTCATAATATTTTATATATTCTTAAACATATTATTTAAAAAAAAATTATACATTCTATCTATATATACATTTACATATAACTATATACATATACATATGTTAAATTTAAATATTAATAGACATGCTTTCATGAAAAATTAATGTAGAAAATTTTAGGTGATTTCACATCTTTTTAAATAGTTCTAGACATATTTCTTTACAAAATAGTTTAGAAAAATTGTAAGTGACTTCAATCTTTCAATAATTATATATAAAATTTTAGATACTTTTTCCTACGTTATATAATATTTTAGGCGTTTTTAATAATTTAAACATACATTTTCTTAAATTCTTTTATATAAGATAATTTTATGTATACGATAAATCATATCATATATATTAACTCCACGTCTTTAATTTATAATTAATAGTTAACATTGTTTACCCTCATCTTTAGTTTATAATTATTATTTAACATTGCACGGGATACGCACTAGTTAGTTTTAGTTAGTTTTAGTTGGAGTAGGATCATTGTAATCACTTGGTTATGCCTTGTAACACTTTATTTGAGTTTCATTTAATGTTTTACCGTTTGGGGGAAAAAAAAAATCCAAAGATGGTTTTATCCACGGAATCCAGAAGACAAAGAATCGCGGTTGGCTCGCATCAAAGCCGCCCGAGAAAGGCAAGACGAAGTGACAACTAACTATAAGAGTGTTTAAAATTAATTTCTCATTCACCATAATTTTTTTGTAGAATTTATAAAGTTACACTTCAAAAAAAAGTGGAAGGCTAAAAGTTACTTCTGAATTAGAAATTAACTGTAAGAATTTCCTTAATTTGTTTAATTTATTTGTTCTCTGGAAGGATAAAATAGTGCCTACTTGATACATAATGAAAATGGATGATGCTTTTGTAAAGTTTGATGAATCACATTCCCTGTTAGAATCGAATACCCTGTTTCTCAATAGTAACGAATTCCAGAGCAGCGTGAGGTTTGCAAAAATATCCTTTTCGCATCAAAACGTACTTTCATACCATTAGTCTGAAAGCCAGGTCAGTGAAAAAAAACTCGTACAAAACTAATACCAACAAACCCAGTACCACCTTTTCTGCATTCATAAATCCAGAAAACTAACAATAAATTAAAAATAGTGCTTGGTGGGCTTTGATCAGAATCAAGTGCTTTTGCTGCTGAATTTTCGGCCGGACAAGTTCTCAGACTCGTACAGCATGTGATTGATCAGTCCTCTTGCAGCACTGTCACATAACACATATTATAAGCAAACCTTAATAGTAATTAGACAAAAAAGTTTTTGGAACCAAACAATTGCCCCTTGGCAAGAGAAAAGAGAAGTTTTTGGAACTCACTCATCCTTCAGCTTTTGAATTTTCTCTGGATCCGTCTCGTGCATGTGTTTTTTGAACTGGTCCCTAACCATACTAACAAGAAGTTCGGTATTGTATTTCTGCATTTGGGTCGACCAAAGGTGATATATTAGTTACCTCAAACAAGACAATGAATTAAACAAATTTGAATATGTAGTTTTCTAGTGATCAGCTAATTTTATCATGATATTTAACTATTTAAGTGACAAAGCCGGCATCACAGATTTATGAAGCAATCAGCATGCAAGTCCACAACAGAGTTCGCATGAAGCATAAACTGTAATGATACACATTTTTCCAATACCCTAACCATTCATATTCATTGCATAACAAGATAGTATACATAGATTGATATACTGACAGTCTGACGAGCATACATAATTTTCCGTTGAACATATATTGTCAGCTCATTCTTATTTCAGAATACTACAGTTCAAAAGGCGACTTTTTCCAAAAAGTGGTAGAATACCATCCCTTTCATGTGTTACGCCTTCAATGAATACTTGAATGCGAAATAAAAGACCATATGACATATCAAACAATCATATGCATGACTTGTGTGAGATTAGGGAATATTAGCATTTGTATCACCGCCTCACGAAACCAAGAGCACCAAATACCTTTGAACCGATATATTTAGCTCGACGCAGGCATTCACGATATAGCTGCAATTGCAAGGAGACACCGAAGCTATAATAATCAAATTTTGATGAAGTTCAAAATGTAAGACTCTAATACGAATTTGTATAACCGTAATGTAATTGCTATGCTTATCATGTTGAATCATTCTAAAGAATTGGAAAAATAATGAACACACAACTTTAAGCCCAAACAAACATTGATTTTTAGCATTTCTAATCAAATAACCAGTCTGATTTAACTTTAAATCCAGAAAATGCTAATTTCCAACAAAACATGGGAAGATTCAGCTCAAATGAAAACAAAAAATAACTCTAACCCTGATGGCATTGTTCGCGAGCTCAGGAGGCAATGCTGTTTGGAGAGACGGCATTTTCTGTTTGTCGGGAGGAAAAAATAATTTAAATAACAGAAAATACAATCAGTTCATGGGCAAACCTATAATTTACTAGTACTAGTTTTCTTTCTGTACTTCTATCAAACACCTTGGCTACAATATTAGTTTAGATGAACCCTAAGCTTCTGAGTTCTGCAAAACATCCCAAATCCTCCAAATTCTACCATTGATGCCTACCCAGTTCAATTTACAACTAACATCCGAAAGCCAGGTCATCTCGATTTCATAGCATTGCGTAAACTTCGTATGATTTGATTAATCTAGCAAACAAAGTTATCGTAATTCGCGTTACAAAAGGACTTACCGGCGGCAGCAAGCAGAGGGCAGAACGGCGATGGGACGGCGAGCTCAGGCCAGTGGGGGCTGACTGGTTAACGAGGAGAGACAAGTTATACTAATATTGATTTTCTTGTTTTTATTTTGGGGAAGAATCGATTTTAGTATTTGTCTATTATTTATTATTACTTTTATTTTATTTATTTATCATTGTCTAACTTTTAATTATTACTAGTATTGGATCATGTGCATTTGCACATATATAAATATAAGAAGTTAGGGAAGGGTTCTAATAAGAACTACCTCTAGTGTAAGAACTAGGAACCAATCCTAGCCTTCAAATTCATAATTATTAACGTTTGAGACTATGTTTAGTATATTAAGAATTTAACTAAAGCTAACTAATAATAAGTAAAGGTAGGGACAAACTAGGAAAGCGGAAATCTCTTCTTTTATTGCAATCCTGATTTAATGGAAATTAAATCTCTTCTTTTATTGCAATCCTGACTTTGACCAACAAAATTTTATACTACTATCAAAAATTGCTATGCACATTTTATTATATGTTAGATGCTAATTTCAAATACATGTGACACTAGTTTTAACAATATATACCATGAAGTTGAACATTAATTATGCTAGTAGTGGAAGTACAAGCATGTAATTCTCTCGTTTGGGAGCTGCCGATTCCGGCGATTATCCCGTTTGGGGCCGTTTCATCTTTGTCATTTGCAGTGTTGATTCTTCAGTGATTCCTTCTTATTTTGTGGGATTCATTGGCGATCATTGAGAAATTGTGGGCGTTTGTGGTTGTGGAGTCATAGGCGAACCCCGAGATGAGGGCAAAGAGGAAGACCTAGCTAATCGCCTCAAAGGTTTTCCCCTGTAGGCCGCAGAGGCTTTAGTCACAGACATAGCGCAAGAAGATATCCGACTAAGTGCAGAAGAATGCCGCCGCAGTCTGTTCGGGAAGGTGGTGGGAGACCGTCGTGCTAGTTGGATAGGTATAAAGCGCACTATGAAAAATATATGGAAGCTGCAAAAACCAATGGAAATCAAGGAGCTCGAGCCAAATTATTTCCAGTTCATCTTCCATAATAGGAAGGACATGAAAAAAGTTGCACGCGACACCAACTGGATATACGATAATCAATACTTGATTCTCCGAGAATGGGAGCAAGGTTTAAATAGCATTCACAAGGGATTTAACGAGCTGCTGCTTTGGACTCAGGTAACCAACCTCCCTCTTGACTGGCTTAGCTCTGAAGTTGGTTTAAAAATAGGGAAGGCATTCCCAGAGGTTAAGAACGTTTATCTAGTCCAAAACATTAGCCCTCATGGAGGTAAGATGTTAAAGCTTCTAGTTGCTATTAACCTCATTGAACCACTACCAAGATGTACAAACATTAGGGTGGGGGATCAAATTGCAACAGTGGGGTCCCGTATGAGAGGCTAGTGAATCTTTGCTACTATTGTGGAGTTATTGGGCATTTGGACAAGAGCTGCAAGAAAAGGCTTGATGACATCAAAAATCAAACTCTGAAGGAGGGGCAATACGGGGAGTGGCTCAAGTCTGAAGACAACATGCCTGGGACATATGCAAGTCCTTCAAGTTCCAGACAATCTTCTTTTACGAGCCAAGCCTCAGCAACAGAAAACTCAAATCAACCATCAAGCTCAACAGGACAAATTCCAGATAGCCCTACACCTCTAAATGCCATGAAGAGTTTACAGGAGACATGCCCACAAGATACAGTTGATTCAACCTAAGAAGTCCCTGAACTTCTTCCACCAACACAATTGGTCTTGTCTGAACAGGCTACTTCTAAACATCAGCACTCCATGGAGATAGTCACCTCTGATGTTCCTATTCAAGAGAAAGATAAGCTAATAGAGATTGAGTTCACTCTCCCTTCCATTTCAAACATGATCTCCCAGAAGAGTACAGTGATGCAGAAAGGGGAAACAGTGACTACAATGAGCTCCTAGAAAAGATCTGCTACTAAGGAGGGAAGGCTGCAGAGACGAATGGTTCTAAGCCTCTCTCCTGAGCAATCCTCAGGATCAAAAAGTGACAGAGAAGACCTAAACTCTCTGGAAGTAGAGAATGAAGAACAGTCTGGGAAAAAGATTAAAGGCTCAAACAACAAGGTGGGGGATGCCAGCCTAAGGTGGCACCCAACCCATCAATGCTAGCTGCGGTGTGGAATTGTAGAGGGATGGGTGGGCCCTCTACAATTTCCCAAATCAATGAGTCTTTTAGGACTCATCACCCAAGGTTTTTCTTTCTCTCTGAAACTAAAAATAATGGTGCTCATGTTAAGTCTATTAGTAGGAAGTTGGGATTTGCAGATAGACACTATATTGTAGACCCCAGAGGGCAAAGTGGAGGACTTCTATTGCTTTGGCATCAAGAAGTGAAACTTATCAATGTGGCATCCAAAGAATTTTACATTGCATTTAACTACTCTCTGAATAATGAGGATCAAGGTTGGGGTGTGTTTGTTTACATGAGTGCTGATAGAAGAATCAAAGAATCACAGTGGATGATTTTGGTAGAAGATAAACATTCCTGGGGTGAAGTGTGGTTTACTATAGGAGATTGGAATGCAATATGTGCCAAGGAGGAAAAGAAAAGGGCCAGACCTAGACAAGATAGGAGTTTTGATGGTTTCAACAACTCCATCTCCAATATGGAAATGGAAGAGGTGGGCATGGAAGGATATCAGTTTACATGGGGAAACAACAGAGAAGCTGAGGGTTATGTGGAAGAGAAGCTGGACAGAGCTTTTGCTTCATATGAATGGCACAGTTCCCACCCTAATGCTAAAGTGCTAAATGTGATAAGAACAGCCTCAGATCATTCCCTCCTTATTCTTAATGCTGGTACTCAAGATCCTCGGTGCAAGAGGAGATTTGCCTTTGATAGAAGATGGGCTTCAAAAGAAGGATTTGAAGAGGTGGTGCAAACTGCTTGGACCATTCCACAGACTGGTACACCTTTCTATAGGCTCAAAGAAAAAGTGAAGCAGACAAGAATTGCTCTTCTCATATGGAGCTCTAAATTCAAGTCCCAGAACCAAGACAAGATTGCTGTTCTATCTACCAAGCTTGAGGAAATCAGAGAAGCTGTTAAAGCAGACAAGTGGGAGGAATGGGATTCAGTGACTAAAGAACTTAATGCCGCTCATGCCTATGAAGAGAAATATTGGGCTCAGAAAGCTAGAGTACAGTGGTTAAAGGAGGGTGATTCCAACACCAAATTCTTCCATGCTTACTCCATGTCCAGAAGAAGACAGAATGCTATCTCAAGATTAGTCACTGATGCTAACAGAGTCTGCTCTTCAAGGAGGGACATTGAAGATCACATCACCACTTACTATTCCTCATTGTTCTCTTCAGAAGGTTCTTGGGGGGGAGAATCCATGTTGCACCTTATTCCACAAACAATCACTGCAGAGATGAACGGGGATCTTCTTAAACCGGTTGAAGATGATGAGATTAAGGCAGCTTTGTTCAGTCTACACCCTGACAAATCCTCAGGGGAGGATGGCATGACAGCCTACTTCTACCAACACTTCTGGAATCTTATTCAAGGGGATCTCATTGAGGTTGTTCAAAGTTTCTTCAATTCTGGTATGCTATTACAATACTGGAACCATACTATAATCTCTCTAGTGCCTAAATACAATGCTCCTTCGTCTCTTAATCAGTACATACCTATTTCACTGTGTATTGTGGTTTATAAAGTGCTATCTAAACTGTTGGCCACAATACTTAAATGTTGTTTGACTGCCTATGTTAGTCCAAGCTAATCTGCCTTTATTCAGGACAGGCAACTTCTAGACAATGTGATATTGGCACAAGAAGTTTTTCATTTCCTCAACAGACATAGGTCTGGTAAGAAATTCTTCATGGCTTTAAAGCTGGACCTTATGAAGGCCTTTGATAGGGTTGAGTGGATTTGCATAGAAAAAATTATGATCAGAATGGGCTTCAGTTTGGAGTTGGTCAAGCTTCTTATGGTATGCATCACTTCCACTTCCCTATCTTTTATTGTGAATGGCTCTCTGACTGGTGCAATCTTCCCATCTAGAGAAATCAGGCAGGGGGATCCTCTATCCCCATTTTAATGCAAGTGTAAGCGTCCGGGTCCGGTTTGGAGTAGATCGATTCTTGTCCTTGCCGGTAGAACGTCGAGAACCTGCAAATAACTCTCACACCGGGGGTTGGGTACGGTGAAGAGCCTCCGATGCTTAAGTCAGTATGTGTATGAGTATACTGGAATCTAGAGAATGAATAGAATGTGTTAAGGAAGAAAGGCTCATCCCCTTTTTATAGGGGTGAGATACCTGCCCTAATAGCTGCCCGGATAAGGATACGTGTGCTGCCCAAGCTGCCCGTCCGTACTCTGACACGCCGCGCACATGTCAGGGGTGCCGCGGGACGTTTGGGCGTTGTCAGAGGTGGTTATCGCTATCACCCAATACATTGCCGACACGTGTCCACCCAGCACATGGGGTAAATATTCTCCTGCAGCTCAGTCAGAGACCCTCACGCGCGTCTGCTACACACGCGTCTGGGCCTATGTTGATCAGCTTGCTCGATCACCCAGCTTGCTCGATCACTGGTCTGATCGATTAGCGGGTAACTCTACCAGTCTGATCGAGCATCGGGCTGCTCGATCACCTGTGTGGTCA